GACTTCATGTTAGAGAGGTACGCAGAGCTGTATGTGCAACAGATAGTTCGTCTACACGGAGTACTAGTGACGATCACTTCGAATCGTGATCCTAAGTTTACCGCCGCTTTGTGGAAAAGTCTTCAGACGGCATTAGGGACGAAGTTACAGTTAGCACGGCCTACCATCCACAGACGGATGGCCAGTCTGAGAGGACGATTCGAACTTTAGAAGATATACTGCGAGCATGTGTTTTGGATTTTAGGGGCAATTGGGAACAACAGTTACCTTTGGTTGAGTTTGCCTATAACGATAGCTATCAGCAGAGTATCAAAATGGCACCGTTGGAAGCGTTATATGGCAGAGTTTGCAGAACACTGGTTTGTTAAGACAAAGTTGGTGAGAGGAGCATCACAAGTCCCGAGTTGGTTCAGCAGTCAGTCGAAACGGTCAAGGTGATTCGGGACAGGCTTAAGACCGCTCAGGGCCGCCAAAAGAATTATGCGGACCGGAGACGTAGGCCTTTGGAGTTTCAAGTGGGGGACCACGTTTTCTTCAAAGTGTCGCAGATGAGAGGATTGTCACGGTTTGGCAAGAAAGGAAAATTGAGCTCGAGATACGTGGGTCCATTCAAGGTCTTAGAGAGAATCGGCACTTTGGCCTATCGTCTCGCACTACTGCCAAATTTATCTCATGTTCATAATGTGTTCCACGTGTCTATGCTAAGGAAGTATGAACCAGACCCGACCCACGTGCTGAATTACGAGGAAATAGACGTGGACGACAGAGTGTCGTACGTGGAAGAGTCAGTTCGGATCGAGAATAAAATGGAGAGAGTGTTGCGGAATAAGACAATCCCGATGGTCAAGGTGATTTGGGAGCACCATGGGACTGAAGGTGCGACGTGGGAAAGCGAAGAGTTGATGCGACACCAATACCCTCATTTGTTTGAATAGTTGGGTTGGATTGTAAATTTCGAGGACGAAATTTTTGTAAGGGGGAAAGAGTTGTGACATTCCGAATTTCGGCCCATTTTTGGGATTTATAAAACGTGTAATTCGTCAGTGTACTTATAGTAAAATCTCGCCCAAGAACTGATCACTCTCGGTTATTTTATTTTTAAATTAGAGATTTTGCTAGAAACGCACTCGATCGAATTTGGCCGTTAATTAGAGCCCAAACTTTGGTGTCGAATTTCTCGGAGTTCCAGGACGAATTTAATTGGACGGTGTCGATATTATTGTGGCCAGCCTCGAGATTGCCCGGAATATGTGAAAAGTGGATTTTTGACTGGGTGCGGATTTGGACTAGTAAACCTCCCTCGTGGTAGTTTGATTTAATTAATTTGGCCTTTGTCCCTTATTATACTCTTGGATTAATTTGGACCGCCGGATCGTTTTCGATTTTAAATATGGGCCGTTGGATCACAATGATTATTTGAATGAACGTTTGTTTTTCTCTCTTTCCCTTCCTCTTTCTTTCTCTCTCTCCTCCCCCTCTGCCACGCACGATGGCCCCCCCTCTCTCTCTCTCTCTCCTCTCTCCTCTCTACCGCGTTGCTGCTGTGCACGCGTTTTTCCCCCTTGTCAGACTCTCTCTCCTCTCTCTCCTCTTTTTTTTCTTTTCTTCCTTTCTTCTTCTCTTCCTTCTTATTGGCCCGCGACTGCTCCAGCGTCTGCTTCTGCTTCTGCTTCTTCTCCTTGCTAGCCGTCGCCGTCCGCCCGAGCTCGCCTGACCACCGCGCGCCGACGGCGATCCGCCCGCCAGCCGCCGCGCCGTCGCCACCGAGCCCCCCCTCTCCTTCTCCTTTCCTTATTTTTCCCAGCCGAGCCGCACCGTCGCCCTCGTCCACCAGCTCGCGATCGCGCTTGCAGCTCGCCGGTCTTTGCTCGGCCCGCTCGCCGGCCGGCCCTGCGTCGCCAGCCGCCGCGCCATGCCTTCCCGCCGCCGTCGTCGCCGCCCTCCCTTAGCCCCATCTCCCTCTCCCTCTCGCCCTCACCGCCCCAGCTCACCTCTCCCCTCTCCTCCACAATGTCGCCGTCGCCGTCGCGTCGCCGTCGCCGACCAGTCAGCCCCGCCGGCCAGCCAGCCCAGCTCACAGCCAAGTCGCCCCGGGACGTGGCCGAGCCGTTGCCTGCTCGCCCAGGCCACGTGCCCGGCGCCTTGCCCGTTCAGCCCAGGCGCCTCGCCTGTCTAGCTCGCCGTTCGCCCCCGAGCACGCCGTTCGGCCACCGCGCCCGCGCGCCAGGCACACCGATCGGCCACTGTGCCCGTGATGGCCAGCCAGCGCGCCCGTTGGCCTGCGCCCATGCCTAGTCTAGCACTGTTCACCCGGGCCATTTTAGGCCCGAGCCGATTTTCTCCGGGCCAAAATCAAGTAAGTGACCTCCTATTCCTTATTTAGGACTATGGGTATTTTTAGACTTGTTTAGGATGTGCTTAGTACCGGGTTAGGAATTAAATTAGGCGTGGGCTACTTTGACTGATTGTGCTCAATTTGTGAATTATTGTGGCGGTAATTGTGTGGCTAATTTAGTGATTGACTGAGATAAATAGCATGACTGAATTGTCGTGGCGCTTGTGGGTGAATTGGATTAATTGAATGTGTTGACTTGAATGTCGGAATCGTGAGCTTGTGATTTGAAATTGGGATGATTATGGGTGCATATTTGTGGCTATTGTGGTGAGTCAATGATTGGCTTATCGTGGCGGTTGTGAGTGGAATTGATAGCTGAATGGGACCGACTTGAAGGTCGGGTTGGTGGAATATTGTGGTGAGCATGCCTTGAGTTTGATTGGTACGACTTGTGAGAATTTCGAATTGTGCTGTGGTGCATGTGCATGAGACAAGCCCGGATTGATCGGAGGGCTACGGACTTGGGACGTGTTGACGGCGGTCCGTGTGAAGGCATGAATGGCCGGTGTGCCAAATGGATGCGGGCTTAAGACGTGTTGACGGTGGCCCGTTAAAGGTGTGTTGGACCGGGACGTGTTTACGTCGGTCATTAGAATTGAGCCCGGATTGATCGGAGGGCTACGGACTTGGGACGTGTTGACGGCGGTCCGTGTGAAAGCATGAATGGCCGGCGTGCCAAATGGGCCTGAGGCGCAGTGGCGCGGGCAGTGAGAATGGACCTGAGGCGCAGTGGCGCGGGTCGTGAGAAAGATGTTCGGCCACGCATGCGAATTGAGTGTGATTGAATTGGCTGGTTGAATTAGTTGGATTGATTGAGTGCAAGTGTGGTTGGTGTTTGAGCGATTGTGATGTGTTATTTAATTACTATTATTGTATTATCACGTTGTGACTAACGTGTAGAGTTGACATGGGCTTGATGACGAGGTAAGTACAATGATGCGAATTTTATATGTTATGGGGTAGATTGCATGTACGACTTGTCTGGGTACGCATTGGCCTATGTGGGGTATAGAGGGTTGCTTATTGAGACTCATTCTCACGGTTATTATATAACCATTTTAGATCCGCGATCATGAGTGATTGGAGACGCTGCAAGGGTATCTCGGAGATCGAGGACGGGTTAAGTACCCGGTATTTTGAGTTCCCCTTTTTGTAGAGGAGTTAAGTTTGTGAACTATTGTCTCTTTTGAGGAATGTGGTTCTGTTGTTGTGGCCTAGCTTGGGATTGTCTTTTTGTGAGCGTCGTATGTATCTGCCAAGAGTAGGAATTACAGTTATTGTTTCGTGCTACTGCTACCCCTTGTCATTATTAATTGTCTAGGTTGTTTCTATTTGTTTCCGCACGTGCCTAATCTTTGATGTTTGGGTTGGGTCGGCGACGTGCCTGGGACGTCGCATTCAATGATCGACCATCGAGGGATGATCGCGCGCTCGTAGGGTGCGGGGCATGACACGCTCTCCCCCTGTTCGGTGCACAGTTCGATTCATTCCTTCCTTCTTCGTCATCTTAGAAGCCTGTCAGGAGCTGCTCATTGTCTAGGCCCTCTGGCCCAGCAACCGCTCTCCACCCTTGTTAGACCGGGTTGTTACAGACAACTCAAGAGAATGAATGAAATGACTACCTTTTATTTTAGTCAAGAAATCACATCTCGAAGAGTCAAATAAAGAAATCGCAGCATAGAGATTAGATTGCATATTAGAATAGAGGTTAGTACTTTTTTTCTTTTGAGTCTGATTCTATCCTATTTCTATTTTACAAGCCATTGTGCGTACTATGTACTGTGTGTATAGGTTGCGAAACTCAAGTGGGAAGGATTGCCTACTGAAGCAATCCCAGTGGTTGCATAGAGGTTAGTACTTGATTGATGCAGTTTGGGGTTTTGATGACGTGGGCCAAGCGTTAGTAGAGTCGTAGAGGTGGAACTGGATGGTCCCTCCATCCCACTCCAATTTCGGTATAAAGAGGCGGGCCCAAAAGAATGGGCATGGTTGGTTCGCAAGGATGGCCACTTCACGCAACGACTAAATCCGGTTATTAATTTGTCTATTTTGTCCCTCTTGATAGATGTGCATCTTGAAGTATAAATTGGAGGCAACTCAGCTCTGCGTGGTCATCTTCTTGAGCAACCTGAATATAGGCATTTTTTTTCTGTCGTATTAACTGAGAGAATCGGTTCAAGAGTTATTGAAGGAGTAACAATGAAACCAGATCTAGTGTTTGGTGCAATGCTGGTTGGGTCAACGCTTGTCTCTGTGCTCGCATACAAGTTTGTCAAGAACAGAAAAAAGAACACGCGTCGAAAAGCAGATGGTCGTGGTGCGTCTAGCTCTCGCACCACTTCGGCAGGAAGTAACAACTATGACCTGTTCTTGAGCTTCTGTGGTATGGATGTTCGCTATAAATTCGAAGATCATCTCTACACCAGCCTCGTCAATGCTGGAATCTGGGTGTTTAGAGATAACGATGAGCTTAGCGAAGGTGATGACATTGGCACCAGCCTTTACCAGGCCATTAAGAATAGCAAGATCTTCATCCCTATTCTCTCTCAGAACTACGGTTCAAGAAAATGGTGCCTTCAAAGAGCTCGTTGAAATGATCAAGTACATGGAGAGCGGCGGGCAGATTGTCTTGCCCATATTTTACGAGGTTGAACCAGCCCATGTGCGATACCAAAAAGGGGACTTCGGGACAGCTTTTTCCCAGTTTAGTAAGAATTATATTGTTGAAGATATTGAGAAATGGAAACAGGCACTCCAAAAAGTGGGTTCCCTAAAAGGATGGGAATTGAAGAGAATTGCCAACAGGTATTTCATTTACTATCGAAACTTTGTTTACTTTCTTTCAACAGGATTCTTGCTTGTAGAGGAGGCTATACAATCGTGTGTTTCTCAACTTGTGCAAGCCGTTTTTACTCTTATACGCTATATATAGTGTTGTAATAACGAGATATAACGGCATATGATTGTTCTTTTAGTCCTTTTTAATTCGAATGCTTTATAAACAGCGGCGACGGAAAATTGTTGGAATTGGTCGTGACACGAGTTTCGAGGGAGTTAAGTGCCATGCAGATGGATGATATCGAACAACCTGTCGGAATTGATGATGTGGTGGAGGATATTTTGAGATTGCTGGATAATAAACCTTGCGCTACCCAAATTATCGGTATTCATGGAATGGGGGTATCGGTAAGACAACTTTAGCCAAGGTTGTCTACAGCAAGCTCTCTAACCAATTTCGGTATCGTAGTTTCCTTGAAGATATTCGAGAATCCTACAAGGGCAAATTCTCTTTACAGAATCAATTAATATCTGATATACTAAATACGAAGGATCAAGTGTCTAATACGTGTGATGCAAATAACTTCATGGCATCTAGATTTAAATATACGAAAGTCCTAATTATTCTAGATGGTGTGGAAGATCAAAATAAGCTAAGCGATTTGTTTCGGAAAGAATGGTTTATGACAGGAAGTAGGGTAATAATTACCACAAGAAATCGTTCTGTTCTTGAGCATTTTGAGGTCAACTATGAGTACAAAGTCAAGGAAATTGATGCAGATCAATCTTTGATCTTGTTTAGTAGACATGCTTTTCGGAGGGACTCTCCTCCGTGTGAATTTGAGTCTCTCGCTAGTGCCGTCGTATCCACTACCGGAGGGCTTCCCTTAGCTCTCAAGGTTATAGGTTCCTTACTGCGTGGGAAAGAAGAAGGATTTTGGCAAGACACATTAGAAAAGTTAAGGAAAGTACCGATTAAAGAAGTGCAAGAGAAGTTGAGAATAAGTTTTGAGGCATTGAGTGATGAGGGAAAAGAGATATTTTTGGATATTGCATGTTTCTTAATTGGAACAGATTTGAGAATTGCATCCTACATATGGCATGCCCGTGATTTACAGCCGAGGATGGAGATTTTAATATTGAGTTCTATGTCGCTAATAACAATTGGAGATAATCATGTGTTGAAAATGCATGACCAATTGAGAAACCTTGGTAAGAAAATTGCAAGTCAAGGAGAGCCCAAGGAGCGAAGTAGGTTGTGGGTCTTTGACGAATTCCTTGGACGTACTTCATGAAGATAAGGTAATTGCTACCTCTGTCGTTGTTCTGCTCTTTTTTTTACATGAATTTTCTTCATTGGAGTGAATTTTAGATCTCACAGCCAAAATTATTCTCCTTATATTATTTCCTTGATGTGATTAGGAAGTAATGTTCGTAGCATCTATACATGGTAGACATTTTCTTTCAATTTAAATAAAAGAAAACTTTTGGGTTTAAAATAATTAGGTTGAATTGACACATTTTACATTAATATGTGATTCTCTTAAACATGATACATAAAATAATTAGGTCGAGTTTAATCATTTCCAATTCAAAATTTTCTTTTAATTTCACATCATCTCCCACCCGAATAATTCATTTTTTGTGTTCAAATTTAAACTTAGATTTGCCTTGATTGACTTTCACTTTTTACTTTTTACTTAAGTGAAATCTTGCAACCAACGCACTTTGGCTTTTTTTTTAAATCCGAAATACTGAGAATTTGTACTTTTATGTTTATATATAGGAATTTTACATGATTATCTTCGCAATTTGTGGCATACAAGTTAAAAGTGACGTATTACATGATTATGTTATTAGAAAAAGATCGCATATGTTTTTTAAAGTGTAAAGAAAATGCATTGGCCATGATAACATACGGACGTATCCTAACAAAAGGTTGTTGAGTGGTATTTATTCATGTCAAGAACGGGGAATTCCTTGTGGGCATACTTACAACGCTCAATTTTTTGTTGTAGAATAACAAAATTAAGGCACTACGTCTGGACAAAGATGACTCAAGCAAGTTCATGGAGCAAGAGAGCTTTAAAAGATTGCCAAACTTGCAGTTCCTTCATTTGAGTGAAGTGGATTTTGCTGGAGACTTAAGGGAGTCACTTTCTAAATTAAGATGGTTGAAGTGGGAGAAATGTCCTGGCTCATTCGAAGCGACCAACGTTGGTTTGGAGAAATTACTCATACTTGATTTATCAGGTGGTTTTATTAGTCAAAAATGGGGAGGATGGAGATTAATTAAGGTAAAGATGAGAAGCGCTTTCTCTTTTGTTACATCTCGTTGAAAAATCATTCTATTTCTGACCACTAATCTTGGAACATGTTTCTTTCTTACAGATGAACAGGTTGAAAGTTCTCAATCTTTCAGGGTGCTCAGATTTAAGGAGCACCCCTGATCTCTCTTCATTTAGGAGTTTAGAGATGCTAACCCTGGAGAATTGTGAGAATTTGGAGGAAATCGACCCCTCCATTAGAGAAGTCAAGCTCCTCGTTTCCTTGAACTTGAGGTACTGTGAGAGTCTCGAGAAGTTACCCGAACAACTGGGCTAACTAGAAAATTTGGAGGAACTTCTTTTAGACGAGACTGATATAAGAGAAATACCTCCAAGTATAGGATCTCTGGAGAAGCTGAAGACACTAAGTGCCATGGGTTGTCGTCTACTGACTCGAGTTCCTAGTTCAATAATCTGTTTGGTAAGTTTGTTGGCCCTGAACTTGAACACTTGCAAAGAATTACAAGAACTTCCGGACTCCTTTGAGGCCTGTGGGAAATTGCAACGCTTATCGTTAGAGCGCTGCTACATGTTGAAAGAGATCCCTTCTTCAATTGGGAAGTTGGGAGAGTTGGTTGAGCTGGACTTGTCATCTACAAAGATTAAGGAATTACCCAAATCCATTGGCGAATTGTACAAACTGAAAATTCTGAGGATTTCTCATAGCGAGATCGAAAAGCTACTCAGGGCCATTGGAAGATTGAAAAGCCTCCAAGAGTTAGATGCCTCAGGCTGCCATAAACTGGAGGGACAAATTCCTGTTGATGAAGGTGGATTGTCTTCTCTAAGGACCCTTTGTTTGGGTAGAGCTAAAATTTCTCGGTTGCCGGAAAACTTCCATGAGCTTTCTAATCTCGACCACCTTGATTTCCTTTACTGTAGTGAGCTTGAGTCACCCCAAAATTTTCCTTCCCGCTTGTCATCCCTACATCTCACCTGTCGGAGCGACAAGCTTCCATCACTCTCTCAACTAAGTTATCTAAAGGAGCTCACCCTTCGCTCTTGCATGTCTCTTCAAAGCATCCCAGAACTTCCCTCCTGCATACGGAAGCTTCGTGTTTGGAAATGTCCCAAATTGGAAAGGTTGCCAAGCCTTTCCAAATTGAATTCCCTGTCGGATTTAGAGCTCTTGCAATGCTATGGGCTGAAGAAATTGGATGGTCTAGAAGCTTTGAAATCCCTAAGAAAGTTGGACTTATCGACAAGCACAGAGTTATCCAGACTCAACGACTTTGAAGATTTAGAGTCGTTGAGATACTTGGACCTGCAAAGCTACGATGGGAAGGTGGATCATCTCCATGCGATAGGAGGCCTCGGCCAATTGAAATCCTTGGAAGTGTTGAATATCTCTGCACGCAAGCATGTCACGCCCCGAACCCCATCGAGCACGCAACACACTTCTCTGGTCGAATAATGCGATGTCTCAGGGTATTGCCGACCCAATTAAACTTATCAAAGATTTATATCAATCAGCGAAAGCCACAAATACCCAGACAAAAATAACTGGGGTAAACAGGGGAGATTAACCACATTCATTACTGATTCAAACTTATATAATATCCACAATTTACATACCACAATATACATGAGCACACCGAACTTCTACACTATAAACCACCGACGTAAAAAAGGATCGATAGCCTGGGTACCCTATCACCAAAAATGGTACACTTCAAAAAGTCTATTCGCAACCCCTACACTAGCCCCTATGCCCTCTGCTTGGCGTCCACTCCGAGTCTGATTCCTCATCATCTGAATCTGAATCCCCCTGAACTATCTGCTCCTCTGAGCACTCCGGCTCGGACTCGATCTCAATCGGGTTGTTTATATCACCCGATTCCGCTGGACCTTCAACCCACTCCTCCTCAACCGGCTCCTCATCTGACTCATCCTCTGGCACAAACTCGGGATCGTACCAGGGCTCATACTCTGGCTCGTACCATGGCTCGTCCTCGGGTGCGTCCTCCGGTTCTTCTTCAGGCTCATCTTCTAGGGCCTCTTCAGGTTCTACCTCAGATTCTACCTCTTCCGGTTCTTCCTCTGGGATCGCCTCAAGATCCACATCCATCGGATCATACCCCGCTTGGGATTCTTCCGGCTCCGGTTCATGCTCGGCCGCTGAAGGCTCCGGTGCTGCAGGTGCAGGCTGAAGTCCTGACTGCGCTAGACTAGTCTCCAAACTAGTCATCTCGCCATCCGGAGGAGGTATGGCTGATGGATCCCAGTCCCCAACTCCATCAAAGGGGACATCGAAGCCACGGACGGGGCCAAACTCATCTACCCAGTCTCGAAAGAACCAAGCGGTGTACGTGTGGGCTTGCCAGAGGGGTAGTCCTATGTCTACCCAAACTACCGTCGTATGCTTAACCCACGTCATATTACTGTCTATCGAGTACTCTACAACACTATGGTTGGTGTGCACCGGTACTCCAAAACGCTCAGGTGGCGGCGGCGGGGGATTCATTGCTCAGGCCGGGGTTCTGAAATTGTTGGTTGAAACAACCATGAGGTTACATCTCATTAAGTACACACCCTAAACCCCACCTAGGCTATCACGTACCTCCAAATAATCACAACCACAACCACACTCAGCCATCACATAGCAGGCACACAATTATGCTTACTTGGGCCTTTCCAGCGTGCAACCTGCACATTAGTCACAACAACACCATTCCCAATCACATGCACGTTCTAAGTACATTTCATGCATTTGTTCCGGCCTCATAACATTCTTTCCACACAACTCGCCAGTGACCCGCGTAATGGTACCGCCTCAGGTTCACTGCGACCATCTCACACTCGATTCGCCTGTGACCCGCGTAGTAATATCGCCTCAGGTTCACTGCGACTAACTCATAACAACACTTCAAGGCCCCCGTAATGGTACCACCTCAGGCCGTGTAGCTTGCCCGCGTAATGGTACCGCCTCAAACTCAACACCCACCACCTACGACACAACCCGCGTAATGGTACCGCCTCAGGTTGGCCGTCCTCCCGTAATACCGGGCATCGTCCCGCGTAGTCGTACCGCCTCAGGACGAATCAATTCCCCGCGTTATGGTACCGCCTCAGGGATTTCCGCAACCACACATACCATGCCACACACGATTTCTCACTCCTTCACACGCTCAACACCCACTTGCCAATAAATTGGCCAATCACACGTGGCCCATGCACGCCCCAATTCACACACATTTCTCATGCTCAATAAGCATCCAACATGGCCAATTGACAATTAAAAACTAATCTAGCCTAAGCGTGCACCTAACAGCTCACATTTCAATCAACCAAAACACGATCCAACAAACACACAAGGCCACTAACGGGCCCACAATCAAAGCCACATAATGAGCAGAATTTCAGCATTTCCTCACTCAATTCAAGCCATAACAAACATCACATTCCAGCCACCATACCGTACACCAAACCGACACCATTTGCCCTTAAATCGAGCCAAATACTCGTCACTACGAGTCCCAATTTTCAGCATTCAATCCGGCACCAATTCAGCCTCGGAACATCACAATTTCAACTTCAAATCAGCCCATCTCCATTCCCAAATCAGAATGCCAACATAACCCCTAAACGGCCCCAATTAACCCATAAACCGACACTAATTAATCCGATTCAACCCCTAATCACGTCTATCGATACCCGACATCCTAAATAGAGTTTAGGGCGCGACTTACTCGAACTCTAGACTGGCTTGGCTAGAGTGGGAAGGGGACGGCAGGCTGGTGGCCAAGCGGTGGTGTCCGGCGGCGGTGAGCAGCTCCGGCGGACGGCGACGATGAGCGGCGGTCTGCTGGCTGGACCTGGCTGAGCGGAACAGGACAAGACGAAGGTGATGGTGGTTCGGTGAGTCAGAATAGGGCAGAGAGAGAAAGGGACAGTGGGGTGAGCGGCAGCTCCGGCGAGCGGCTGCTCCGGCCAGGCGAGAGGGCAGCGATGGTTGCTGGCTAGGCCGG